GAAGGGAAGGGGGGGAGGCGAAAGCGGTGCTTCCAAACCCTAATTACGGTTAGCGGGGGATTAAGTAATAGTCACTAACCTCTTGGGCTCGCGGAGGAGAAACGTGATCCCCCTTTAACTCTCCTCCGCTCCCTGCAGCTCCTCCTTACACAACGGGCTGCAGCTCCCGCATATCAACGCACCGCAGCTATCGCTGCAGCAACACCCCCTTGGCCAGGAATCCAATAGGGACACTATAGGGGCGGGCTAGAGGAGCCGCCGCGGCAGGAACAAGGCACCCGGGCTGGGGGATGAATCATCACCGGATCATCGTAGGGCTAGGTTGGAAGGGACCTTAAAGATCAGCTAGTCCAACCGTCAACCCAACTCTGACCAAAATATAAATAAATAAGAAATAAGCAATTAAAAAAAATTTAAAAAAAAAAAAATAAAAAATCACTAAACCGTATTCTTGAGGACCATGTCAACCCGGCTTTTGAACACCTCCAGGGATGGTGCCTCAACCACTTCCCCAGGCAGCCCATTCCAATGCTGCATAACCCCTTCCGTGAAGAAATGTTTCCCAATTTCCAATCTGAACCTCCCCTGGTGCAACTGGAGGCCATTTCCCCTTGTCCTATCTCCTGGGAGACAAGACCGACCCCCGCTTCTCTACACCCCCCTTCAGGTAGTTAGAGAGCACAAGAAGGTCTCCCCTCAGCCTCCTTTTCTCCAGGCTCAACACCCCCAGCTCCCTCAGCCTCTCCTCACAAGACTTCTTCTCCAGACCCCTCACCAGCTCCGTTGCCCTTCTCTGGACCCGCTCCAGCCCCTCAATGGCTTTTTTGTGGTGAGGGGCCCCAAACTGGACACAGTATAAATAAATAAGAAATAAGCAATTAAAAAAAATTTAAAAAAAAAAAAAGTGGCCACCTTGGCCACCTGGGCACACTGCTGGCTCCTGTTCAGCCGACAGTCGACCAACACCCCCAGGTCCTTTTCTGCCAGGCAGCTCCAGCCACTCTGCCCCCAGCCTGGAGCGCTGCAGGGGGTTGGTGTGACCCAAGGGCAGGACCCAGCACTTGGCCTTATTGAACCTCATCCCGTTGGTCTCAGCCCATCCATCCAGCCTGTCCAGATCCCTCTGCAAACCCTCTCTACCTTCCAGCAGGTCGACACTGCCGCCCAGCTTGGTGTCATCTGTGAACTTACTGAGGGTGCACTCCATCCCCTCATCCCCTCATGAAGATGTTAAAGAGAACGGGTCCCAGTACCGAGCCCTGTGGGACACCACTCATGACCAGCCGCCAACTGGATTTGACTCCATTCCCCACCACTCTCTGGGCCCGGCCTCCAGCCAGTTTTTAACCCAGTGGAGAGTATACCCCAAGCGCATAGCTAGTGAGGGGCTGACACCTCCCCTGGGGACCTGAGCTGAAGCCCACCCAGCGGTCACCCCAGGCAGGGACTCCACACAGCCCTGCCACGCGATGGCTGCCCAGCTGCATCCATAGGGTTTTACATCCATAGGCTGAGTCCCTGCTCAGGAAACTGGGAGTTTTAGCAGTGCCAAACAGCAAAGAAGTCATTCTGTGCCTGGGTTTCCCCCAGGAAAGCTGCCACCAGGAAAGAAAGACCCAGGCCAGGTGTTACTACAAGCTCTCGCCCAAGACTATTTGTCTCCCTTCCTGCAGGGATTGCTTCCTGGCCAACAACGTGCTGGGATTAAGCACTAGCTTTTCCTTCGAGAGCCACTTCTTACCCACATCTTCCTCGCAGCCTCTTTACATGTTGTTTCTTATCTACACGCAACAGGACTTTCAGCTGCTCTGTTCAGGGCTTGGAAGATAAAAGCCTGGGAGGGTGCAGCTATTTCCCCCCAGGCCAGCAGCTCCTGCAATAAACAGGGTATGAAATAAGGAGGGTCTGAATTCCATCCACGCTGATGTTGGGCATTTTCCCGTCAATAAAACTGTGTCACGTTGGGACTACAGACGCAAAGAACCAAATTCTGTACTCATTCCCCTCAGAGGTAAAGTAGAAATAACTCTGGACAAATCAGTAACTATTTTTTTTTTTGTGCTCGAGTGTGTCCCGTTCAACCTGTTTCTGGCAAATCTTGAGGCGTGCTGTGTCTAAGCAGTAATACCCTAAGTAGTCTGTCTTCCTCCTATAAAACTTTAAAATACAAACCAGCTCTAGATTCCTTAAATTCTTTTTTTCTGAAATTCTGCAGGTTGGGAATCTAAGAGGGATACATCCTTCTTTCCATCTTTTCCCACTCATTTCTTCTGACCAGTTCCTCACCAGCAAGATTCTCTTGGAACTCACTTGGAACTCCTCCCAGCTACATCTGCTTTTCCAGAGTCACATTTTCTGAGCCAGCTGTGGGGTTTTAAATTCGTGCATAACTTCCCTGGTCTAACATAACTTCCATCTGAAGATGGGTTTATGCTGACGCTACTATGCTGGATGTTTCAAATATGTCACAGGATGTTTCAAAATTCTTTCCTTCCCCTTGCAAACACCCTGTAGTACCACAGACTAAAGCACAGCTCGACGTATCAGCAGTTTTAATTACAGCCGAGACACAATTGCAATAAGCAGGAGCTCCAGAGAGTAGCTGAAGAATTACACGGAAGACTAATGAGCAGGAAGTTTGAAGCCCATCAAAGCATGAATGAAGGTCTGCAACATACGTGTGGTGCTGCATAAAGGAGGCTTGGCAGAGCAGGAGACAGGACATTTAAAAGATATACATCATGAGTTCAACATATGGGACTGCTAATGACTAGCCTGTGACTGTATGCTTAGCATAAAGTAATGAATCAATTAGCACATGATAGGAAACCGTAACGAATAGCAGAACATATGAAAGGATGCATATGGGAGTGATTAGGGGCAGATGTAACTCAGAGCCTTTGGAGTCAGGAACAGCACTCACATTTGTTCAGCCACGTGTCTGACAGGATGCGAGACCTGGCCGATCTCATAATTAACCTTGTAAAAAAAAAAAAAAAAAAAACAAACAAACCAAAAACCCCAACACTACTTTCCGGATGGATGAGCTCCCAAAACCAGGTGGGAATGGCAACAGGCAGCCAAACAGGAGGGCACAACTACCTCTTTCCACCACTAAACCAGTCACCTAACTGCTGGCTGCTTAATCCCTGCATACAGCCTCCAGCTCACTCTGCCTTAAGTTTATGTATTTATTCAGATGGCTAGATAACAAACCCAACATTTAACTCCACGCCTGGTCAAGACTGGGGGTGTTCCCTCCAGAGGTGGAACATGAGCTCTGGAGGAGCCATTTGAGACCGTGAGATGAGCAGCCAGCACGACAAGAGAAGCTTAAGGTGGGTGAACGTTGTGTAGCCTCCATCATTGCAAAATTAAAAGGAGAAGGTCTACAGGGATAGTCAAGCCACCAGAAGCAGAGCTGGGAACCATAGACGAGCTTTTGGCACAAAACCCTTCTTCAGGTCTGAAATAAGATTTTTCAGAGCACAATTAGATATGTAGCACTCAGACCAGCCCTGAAGGTAAAGGCAACGCATTCCCACAAACAAGGGACGTCAGGGGAAGGGCAGGAGAGAGACAGAGACGTTAAAAACCCTGCAGCTCTGCATACAAACCTGCCTCTTAACATGACATCTTAGGGGGCAGGAAGAGTTCCCACTAGGCTGGGCCACCCACTCATTTTTATTTTGTCCTGTATTCCTACTTTTTGGTCCTATCTGGACATTGTTTTGTTCTGCTGAGTGTCTTTCCATACCACGTTTCTCCCCACTCTCACCTTCCACAGTCCCAGGGCTGTTAGAAGCCCTAGCAAGCAGATGTATTAACTAACTTCCGCTACAAAACCGAGCAACCTCTCACTTCTCAATTATTTTGCCAGGAACAACTATGCAAAATAATGCCATCATCACGACGACAGGAACTGATTGGCAACCACTGAAGCCCTCCACAGAAAGAGCGAGCTTTATTTGGAAGAATTCAATAGCAGATAATATGCCACTAAATCACAATGGTAAGCCAAAAAAGTATAAATAAGAAGCTGGAAACGACTTGGATAAGAGAACAAACTGGCTTGGCAACAGCCCTCAGAAGAAGGCCTGATTCAACTCCTCAGCCAAGAAGCACACACAATAAATATCAAAGCAGGTAGGATGCAGCAAGAAGCAGTGGCACAGCACGCTCTGAAATTATTGGTCCAGTCATCGGCTTAATTTCAGATGATTCAAAACTGCGAGCTGAGGCTCAGGATCCTGGAATCTAGCAGCGTCCATGCACACTTTACGAATGCTACAAGCCTAAGTGCTGAGCTCAGTGACAGTCCTGAGCAGCCCGCTTAAATAAACTCTGACAGGGACAACAGCTTACGGGGTACAATGACGAGGGATAAATTTGGAATGAAAAAAGATAAGCTAAAGACAGCAGTAGTTAAATATGCGTATCGGTGTATGGAATCAGATCATCAGATTAGATCCAGAGTTTTGTTTGGGGATTACTGGAAGGATGCTCACAGAAATTGTTGGGGTTTTTCAATTTTATTTTAAACATAGAATCATAGAGTGGTTGGAAGTGACCTCAAAGATCAGCTACTTCCAACCCCCTGCCCTGGGCAGGGACACCTCCCACCAGACCAGGTTGCTCCAAGCCCCATCCAGCCTGGCCTTGAACCCCTCCAGGGATGGGGCAGCCACAGCTTCCCTGGGCAACCTGTTCCAGGCTCTCACCACCCTCATAGTAAAAAATTTCTTCCTGGTATCTAATTTAAATCTCCCCTCTTCCAGTTTGAGGCCATTACCTCTTGTCCTATCGCTACATGCCCTCCTAAAAAGTCCCTCCCCGGCCTTCTTGTAGGCCCCTTTCAGGTATCGGAAAGCCCTTATAAGGTCTCCCTGGTGCTTTCTCCAGGCTGAACAACCCCAGCTCTCTCGGCCTGTCCTCACAGGAGCTGCTCCAGCCCTCTCATCATGCCTAAGGGTGATTTATTTTATGGTGTCCCTTGGTTTGAGGCATAGCCTGGAAAACTAACGACTGCAGGAAAAAAAAAGAAAAAAAAACCCTAAACAAAAGGAGCGACTCTCAGAACCAGGCAGCAATTTCAAGTGTGTTTTGGGTTATTATTAGTAGGGAGCCAAGGGGATGCGGGTCCCGGGGGAGGCCTGCGCTGGGCCCCCAGCCGCCGCCTCCCGTTTCCCCCAAAGCACCCCCCGCATCCCAGGCCGCTGCTGGGGGACGTCCATGGAGGAAAAGGGGAGACCGAAGAAACCCCCCAACCCTTCCGAGGAGGAGGAGGGACCCTCAGAAAACACCCCTTGCTCCACACACACAGAGGGAGGCCCAGCGCCACCCCCGCACCGCCCTCCCTTCCCTTCCCCTCCGCCGCGCCGCCCGCCAGCGCCCCCTGGCTGCGCCCCGCCGGCCGCGGCAATGGCGGCCCCCACGGCCCAACACGCGTGAAAAGCCCTCCCGCCGACCGCCGCTGCCGTGAGTGGGGAGGGCCGGGCGAGCCCGGGGGAACGGTTACGGCCGTTAGGGCGGAGCCCCGCCGCTCCCACCCCACGGG